GTTGGGTGACAATTCCTGTGATCTCCCTGTTGTTCCTAACATTTCCACTGGCCCACTGACTGTCAACCTTCCATCTCCACCTGTCCCTTCACCTGCACCTGTCCCTTCCCCCACCCCTGTCATTCCCTCACCTCCGGTCATCGCTGGACCTTCTGACAAGAGGACCCCCGAGGTCCGGGACAAAGGAAAAGGTAAGGCCACCTCCATCGACCTGGAGCCGGAAGTTGGGGGGAGCAACAAGAGAAAGTCTCCAATGATTTCTGGACACTCCTCCCAACCTCCAAAGTTGGTGATGAAGGCACGCAAGCGTGTCAAGTCAAGTCAACTCCCCAAGTTGAAGCCGTTTGTAGAGTTGGAAGATGATGAAGACCCAATTATTCAGGTATGTGTTCTGGCTTATTTGTGACATGCTCTCAATTTGTTGCAGCCAATTTCGTGTGGAGTGCCGGAGGTTATCCTTCCCCAGCGCTCCACCATTGTTGTAAGGAAGCCCCAGTCGCCTCGGTCACCTGGTTCCCCCAAGAAGCAATCATTTGGGCCTGCTTTGGTAAGTCTGATTTATCCGTTTGGACCTTAAATATATGCTCATGTGTCCACAGATGACTGCCGGCAGTTGTCCAGAGGTCATGGTGAGTCGTTTGGACTTGTCTGGATCTCCCATGTATAATTGTCACTCATTCCCATTACATTAGAAATCTCCCATCAGTCGTCCGGAGGCTCAGGGCAGTCGTCCAGAGGCTCAGGTAAGTCTTAGAAGTTCTCCAGAAACTCATATGTGTATTAACAATCTGTCAGACAACCTCCGGCAGTCGTCAGGAAGTTGAGGAGCCCTCTGAAGATACTTCCAGTGCTTCGGATGGTGACCTGCCGGCCAATACCACATTTGATATCACCATTCCCGGCCCAGTGAGTACTTTAATTAATTCCCCTTCGTCCATCTACTAACAGATACCACAGAACAACCCCTGCCATTATTGTGTCAAGGAACATTGGCCCTGTGCAACTTGTTTGGACAAGAGGACCAGTCTCCCCTGCTTGTCTTGCATCTGCTGCTCCACCAAGAAGATCAAATGCAACCCTGCATCTCTGGGATCTCCACCCAAACAGATCCGAGGGAAGTCTACCACCGGCCGGATGCATTCCAAGACACCTGCCCCTGCTTCATCCAATGCTCCATCTCCCTCCCGGTCAAGGGCCCGAACTCGTAGTCAATCTCGTGGCCCGTCCCGACCTCTAGCCACCCCTGCTGCAACTACACCCCAGGTGCAGTCATGTGGTCGCAGCAAGACCATCACCATCAAGAAGACACCTGCACCTGCACCTGTCCCTGCACCTGTGCCAGCTGGTAAGTCACCCAAACCTTTGATGACCGGCTGACCTAATTTTTTACTTAGCAGTCAGGTCTTCCAGCATTGCAGTGCCTCGTGCAGCACTCAATGTTCCCATGCCGGATCTCCATTCTATGGCAATCACAATTCAGGATGGTGCAGCTCGCATCGCAATTCTTGAGGCTCGGGTGCAGGAGCAGGATGCTAAGATTGATACCCTGCAATGCCTCCATGAGAGCCTCCAGCGCACGGTGATCGACCAGCACCCTTCATTTTCACTTCCGGACACACCGGCCGATGCATCAATGTTGCTTGATCAAGGAGGTCCCCCCTGTCCATGTCACCCCTCCCCTCTGCACTTTCCAACCTCATTGATTTGGACATTTCAGTGATGGAACCCACACCCTTGACGCCTGAGCATGGATCTGCTATGGTAGGTCCCATGGTTGAGCCCACCCAAGTTCAGCCTGAGGGTCCACAATCCTCCGGTGAAATTGTGCTCCAGGATGAACCAGGCAACCTCTTGCCAGAATCCTTCAGCAATATTGTGGTCCCTAATGAACCAGGTAACCTCCTGCCAGAATATGCTTCTTCTTCTGATGAGATGGATGTTGAGGGAAACGTTGATCTTCCTGGTGAGGAGGTTGAAATGGCTACATAATTGCTCAGTGATAGATGTACATAAATCTTTTTCAATGCATGTTACCTATGCCACAATTGAATGATTCAATGATCAGTCCCAATATCCAGAACTCAAAACTGTAGATTGAGGTAGATATCACCCGAAACCTAAACACCCGAATGTCAAATTATCAGTGCCGAACCCCAAGTCCCGGGTGCTGGGTGCTGAGTCCCGAAATTCGGAACTAAGGATTTGACATTTGAGACGAACAACATCTCTCAGACAATGTTTAAATCAACCTACGTATATCTGTAAACATTTTACTAACCCCCAATCCCCAAACCGAGATGTACCAACCCCCGAACCCCAAAACCCGAGACTGCCAGGTCTCAGGTTTCGGGGTTCGGGGGTCCAGAACTCGGAACTCGGTATGTAGAACAAAAATATTTTTTAAAAATGGGTAAATCAATGTGTTTGTCAATAAACTCGATTGTAAATCAAATTTTATTGATCTCCCCAAATTTCCCGAGTTCCGGGACCCCCGAACCCTGAAACCCGCACTTTGGTCACCCCATTTTAGACACCTCTTAGGTTGATTGTGACCTATAGAGGTTTTCACCTAAGAGGTACTTTTATGGTGGTCTACCCAATGTTCTGTGGTCTTTCCCTGTAGTCATTAGGGACCAAAGACCATGTACCATATATGAACTAAAGACCATTGGGAATATGTTGTGGGAGTACCATACAACGATTTGGACCACTTGAATTCCCTCTAATGTAGGGGTGTCTGGGGTCTTCAAATGACGATTTTTTGGCAAATTTTCCTACCTTTGTGGATTGCATCTATGCACTGTGCCCTACCTCCTAGACCCCCTTAGACTGAATGAGTCTTTTCGTATATAATCGAACAATATATCAAAATTGTATACTTTGTCCAGACGGCCTACAGTCATCTCCAACATGCCCGATGCATAACCCACAACAGATTTCATTATATACGCACTGGACCCGCTCACATCCTCTGGAAAACTGTCCTATGCCCAGTCCGGTTCCATGTAACACTAGTACTGGTACATACACTTCAAACCACACACCTGTTGGTTCATGACACCCACTCCTCAATGCTCACTCCGCTTGCATCTTGGTGGGGGGCTCGGCTAGGCATCTGCACGGGTATGGGTAACCCACGCGGGTCACAGGTACGGGTTGAGATTTGAGACCCGCGCTCTAACCCATACCCCACACGGGTCCGGGTCCAGGTCTGAACTCATCATACCCGCCAAAAACCAGTACCTGTTAGTGCGGGTACGGGTATGGGCTCTGGTACCCGGGGGTTTACCCGTGCAGTTCCCTAGGGGCTCCTCCCTGTTTAACCACATGAGCTGCAGTACCTCATGGCCGTTTACCTACCTTTGGACCCATTAGTTTTACTACAACCTTTGTCTATAGTACTCCAGACTTTCACATGAATAGATGGACAGGGACGGCATACTACAGCATTGCAAAAAGGATAAACGGGCGAGACCACGAGCTTAATGGGACGGACCATAGGTGTAAGATGCATGCTATAGGGAAGACCGCAGGCTTAATGGGACGGACCATAGGTGTAATATACATGCTATAGGGAAGACCGCAGGCTAAATGGGACGGACCATAGGTGTAATATACATGCTATAGGGAAGACCGCAAGCTTATTGGGACGGACCATAGGTGTAAGATGCATGCTATAGGGAAGACCGCAGGCTAAATGGGACAGACCATAGGTGTAATATACATGCTATAGGGAAGACCGCAAGCTTATTGGGACGGACCATAGGTGTAAGATGCATGCTATAGGGAAGACCGCAGGCTAAATGGGACAGACCATAGGTGTAATATACATGCTATAGGGAAGACCGCAGGCTAAATGGGACGGACCATAGGTGTAATATACATGCTATAGGGAAGACCGCAAGCTTATTGGGACGGACCATAGGTGTAAGATGCATGCTATAGGGAAGACCGCAGGCTAAATGGGACAGACCATAGGTGTAATATACATGCTATAGGGAAGACCGCAAGCTTATTGGGACGGACCATAGGTGTAAGATGCATGCTATAGGGAAGACCGCAGGCTAAATGGGACAGACCATAGGTGTAATATACATGCTATAGGGAAGACCACAAGCTAATTGGGACGGACCATAGGTGTAATATACATGCTATAGGGAAGGCCACAAGCTAATTGGGACGGACCATAGGTGTAATATACATGCTATAGGGAAGACCACAGGCTAAATGGGACGGACCATAGGTGTAATATACATGCTATAGGGAAGACCGCAGGCTAAATGGGACGGACCATAGGTGTACTATACATGCTATAGGGAAGGCCACAAGCTAATTGGGACAGACCATAGGTGTACTATTTATGCTATAGGGAAGACCGCACACCACCACCACCCCTCCTTCAACAGACTATTCCGACTAGAATTACTCCATTTATACTAGGAAGACACCATGTCCGATTCTTCCCGAAGAACAAGTATGTCACTCAGCTACTACCCCTCTATTAATGAATACATATGTAGATGTAGCTACCCACACCTCCCCGCCCCCCCCCTCCTCTTCAACAGACTAATCTGACTAGAATTATTCCATTTCTACTAGGAAGACACCATGTCCGATTCTTCCTGAAGAACAAGTATGTCACTCAGCTACTACTCTCATTTTCCGTCTATTAATAAATACATATGTAGATGTAGCTACCCACACCTCCCCCGCCTCCCCCGCCCCCCCCTTCAACAGACTAATCTGATTAGAATTATTCCATTTCTACTAGGAAGACACCATGTCCGATTCTTCCCGAAGAACAAGTATGTCACTCAGCTACTACCTTCATTTTCCCTCAATTAATGAATATGTATGTAGATGTAGCTCAAAAGTACTCCATTGGTTGCTACTGTATAATATATTCTCACACATCTGTCAGCCAAAACTAAGTGACAACTATAAATTCTATGTGCCAACATTTATTTGACAATTTAATAGAGGACCAAAAACTTTAAATTCTATATGCACCGACGTTTATTTGACAATTTAATAGGGGAGGAAGGCATATAGTGATCATCAATGTCATCCGTGTCATCCACTAACTCGTTACTGTAATCATACCTGTACTCGTCCGCTAGTGCAATGTCTTCAATAGCATCCATCAGTTCCTCGTCTCCGATCTCACCATATTCCAGGTCTCCCTCACAATCACCTTCCTCCCCTTCCACACTCTCAGCATCATCCTCATCACGAAAGGATGACTGCGCTTGATCACGAGCGGCCTGAAGCAATGCTTCGTCAGAGGGTCCCCAGCTCTCACCAACTGGCCATGCGCAAGGAATACACTGAACCTTTTTCTTCCAGACTACACATATGTTTACAAGTTCATCCGCATGAGACCGAAGGTGGAAAGACATGACTGCATCTGTCACTGCAACGTCACTAACCACCATTGATAACATTGTACGGACACACTTACCTGCATTGTTTGAGGCACCTCTTATTGCCCCCCACTCCGCCAACATCCATTCTTGAATGACAGCCCTCTCATGCATCAGTCGAGCTTCCTCCTCCACGCACCGATCAACCTCAAGTTGCAAGCGGATGCCATTTCGGACGGCATCATCTGATAGCCATGCTGGCGGCGCCATAGTGTCATCATCAAGCCCGACATCTTGCCAGATGTCGTCATCAACATCGAGCAGAAAGATGCCATCCCGCGGGATGATGTGAGGCATAATAGCATAAGGAGGTGCTCGACGCTGGCGTATCAGAGATCGTAGTTGAGAACACAGACCATTGTACGTTGAAACTAATTTGAGGATGCCGGGCTCTTGCCGCTTGATCGACTGCTGAGTATTGGCATGAAGCTTGTGCTCGGCTGAAAAAATTATGAGACGTGCACCAGTCCGGTCAAATCGTCAACGCACCATTGATTGTTGCCCTGTAAGATCTCTCGAGTCTCTCCAACTCAAACTTGCGTTGACGAAGGCGGTCGCGAATATGAGTTTTGACTGCAAGGGCATTCAAGCGAACCGTAAGATATATATCCTTCTTCATCTTCTGCAGGTTGACCTTGTCCTCTGTTCCAAGTGCAGCTCGACGTCGTCGGAGAGTGTCAGCAGTTTTCGCTCGCCGTGAGCGGATGTCTGCAAGCTGCAGGTTGAACTCGACAATGTCAGGGACACGGCCACTATGGAGCTGCATCTCGAGCTCACGGATAGAAGCCTCCTGAGCTTCTAAGGTCTTCTCCAGTGCTAGGACGGTAGTAATCACCTCCGCCGCCTTGTTTCTAGATTGTCCTACGTAAGGTTCAGTTCAGGACACTTAGAACATTTGGTTATTATAGATGTACGTGGTGCGGGTCTCGTCTGGTGATCAACCTGAGCCTTCCATTCTACACGAAGCATATCCTCGTCCACCTGCAAATCATGTAAACTGTCCAGTGCACCGTTTTTCTTCGTTTGACAGTGGATCCAGCGCCGATGGAGCCAATGTCCAAAGCCTTGCAATGATTTCGAGTCCAGATGACGAATTTGTGTGTCAAGGACGAAAAGCCGCTGATTGAACTTCATAGCGAAGAGTAAGATACATAGAATGATATGAATAGAGCATACGTACCCCAGAAACACGCAAGGAGGGGATGAGGGGCTTGAGGAAACTCCACAGTCGTTCGCATCCTTCACCGTCAGACAGTCCGAATCCTTCTCGCTTCCTGGGGTGGTAGACGATCTGACAAGGCCACTGGTGACCATAGGCATGGAATATGGCAATGGCAAACGCAATGCGAGATAGAGTATTGTCGTCCATGAACTTCCACTTGTGACAGCTCCGTTCGAGCTGGCATCCAATGTCATATAGAAGCCCGATCGTCATCTGAGCAGGGAGATGTTTAAACAACTGGTCCAATAGGGCAAGCGCATAGTGTTGTTTTTCTCCCACCGATGTGAGGTTCGCGACCCACAGGACACGATCGTGTCTACAAAGCAAGGCCATCAGGCCTGTATCGGTAAAGAAGCGAGTACTTGCCTTCTCTCGCTTTTCGTCTGCAGCGATAAAAGAGTCTCCACACCCGTTCAAGACCGACACTGGTACGCGCATGCCCTCTTCATAGCAATCTTCGTCTGGCTCCGCCCTGGAGGCCCTTGCTTGACGTCCTTCTCCACGACACCTTTGAACAAAATCTTCCATTGCGTTCACATCGGCCGTGGGTAGAAAAAAAGACGATGTTGGGTTAGGAGGATCGCTGCCAGTAGCACCGCGAGGATTTGTGGAACGTTTTTGTGTGAAGCACGCGTCAATGCACACAATAATATTTGGCCTGGAGAAATGGTCAACTGGTGCAGTAGAGTCATAATAAATGACTCACATGGAAGGAGAACCTCTCACTTCGTTTCGCCAATCGTTCCCTCCGAAACAGAGTGGGCACCGCGAACGAAGATACTCACTAGGCTGGTCCACACGAGAACTGTCCTTCCGGGCATCAGTAATGAGGGTAGAGATGTGATCCCGAGCCAACACAGTCAAGACCCTGTACCAGTGAAACGCATTGCTGAAGCGATGCCGCAAGCTATTCTGAAAGAAAAATAAGTATACAGGCGCACCCGTGAGCAGGGAAATACTGACCTTCGATGTCAACTTGTACCTCATTCCATCAAGAAAGGTCTCCAGAGCATCGCACCAAGCAGTTTGGTTGGGGGACTGACGAACGAAGAGGAGGCGAACGAACTCCAGAACTCGTAAGTCTACTGCTAGAGAGGGAACCATGGGTGCACATGGAAAAAGGCCGCGACGAAGAAGCTGAAGCGGGGCGGGAAAACAAGGACAGGCGATGATGGTGATTTCTTCGAAAGCTGTAAAGTACATCAGACCAATGTTAGAAGATAAGAAAGACGATAACATACTGTTGAAAAGTATGCATGCAACCTTGATACTACGAGTTCTGCACCCAGTCCCGCACTCTCCATCATTTGAATGGCGTTCTCCTGGTACGTTGGCATGGCGTAGCGATAAAGTCTCCTCGATATAAGATAGATAGGGCACTATCATGCGCGGAATGATGTCATCTGACCATCTGCGCCATTGATTGGCCCTTTTCTGCGAGCTGGTGAGACGACGGGGAACAGGATGGTCAGAGAAATGCAGGGAGTCGCTGAATGGAATGGTTGCTTCATCATCCTTGTGTTCTAGTTCGGTCCTAGACATGGACAATGAGCGAGGTAAAACTTGCTGTGATAAATGTCGTCGTCCTGGCATAACCAAAACAGGAGGCGGGCCAGGAAGATAAAGGTTCAGTTTCTTAGTCTCGCGAGGGCGTTTCCATTTTTTGACCATCCAAGGTTCACAAATAATGGTGCTCGATTGTTGTGTCGACGGAGGCGATGGTGAATCAAGGATGGTTTCTCTACGACGTCGAGGCTTCGGACGGCAAACCGCCATGACGAAATTCCTCAAGACCCGAAGTCTTACAAGGAAGAGAAACAACCGACACGAAGTCAATTGGAGAACCTCAATTCACGGACGCGCAGTCCAGGAGAGTTCGACGGCAGTGATTAGTTGTAGTAGACACTGGGTGGACCGACGCGCAGTTGGGGAGAGTTCAATGGAATAACTGGCAGTGGTGGTGGATACACCGGGAGTTGGAAGACAAAGCCCTCAAGGCAAATGTCCATAATCGCATCAGAGCAAGTCCTTCGGGTCAGGAACCCTACATAGTCGGACATCTCATCATCTGCATTTCAATGTCATGATGTAATTATGTCAGTAACTGCGCTAGCCCAATAAGAGAATTTTGGTGTGCGACCAACTGAACCAGATATATGTTTTGATGGGACTTGCAGAATAAAAGAGGAGCTTGGAAACAGAGAATACATGAATGAGAGCAAACAGATGAGAGGACAGAGAAGCCTACCAGTGGAAGTCCATGCCGTGGGCCTACAAAGTCGAGTAACAGAGTGTCCTACATTGCACAGGAACTTCAAAAAATGCTAGAGGCAGTGTCGCTAATTATGTCACGCAAATTCAACTAGCAACATCACAGCAACATCAATCTAACAGATAATGATGAGGTAACGAAACTGCAAAACACATTGCTACAGGCAAAAGACAAAAACGGCAACATTATATGAGATCATGATTGCATGGGAAGCGAGTGGGGCACTATAGGAGGCCTGCCGAAATGATCGAAGAATGTTTGAACGTAAAATGTCGCCGCCGCACGCCTAACTTCCCAGGAGTATGTATCTGTGAAATTGTCCGAGGTCAGTGGTGTCAGAAGACAAGGCGGAACGTCATCCCAATCGCAAAGCAGTCTCCGGAAATTCTCAAGGTAAGGAAGACAGCCCATCAAGGTGTTGTTCCACAACCCATAGTTCTCCGACGGAAACGCCTCCGACCACATCACCAAACCAGCCTCGCCCGGGAAGATGCTATGGAGGAGCTGCTCGCGACCAACAGCATCATTGTTCCAACATCCCCGTGCCAAGTAATGATCGAGATCCCTCAACTCGTACCGAAAGCCAAGTTCAAATAATTCCCATGTGATCTTCTGCACCAGAAGCGAAGGAGGGGTGGCGAGACTAGCGATGGAGACTTGTTCACCCCGAAATTCAACAACTCCATCTGGCGAAAATATATCGCCCTGAGTTTCCAACAGGTCATCACCGAACAAGTCCCGCATTGCTCGCTTCCCCTTCTCGGTGGCTGTAAGACTCTTTCCGTCTGGCTCTTTCCCTTTGGAAGATTGTGGTTGGACAGAAGGGACGCTACCGAGAAAATCGCGCCAGAGCTGAGGAGTAGGATAGGTGCGTGGAGGATCATGATCAACTCGGCCAATCCACAGTGGACGAGCAGCGAGCCAATTGGCAAGGTATAGTTGCAAACGTTCAGGCAACTTGGGACCGAGGAGGAGAGCGGGTTTGGGGAATCTATATCCCCGATCGATAACGTAGGGTGTGCGAACACGAGACTCGTCCTTAACAACAATTTTCATGGCACCCTCCCAATGCAGGTTCGGCGGTGGAAGGAACGGTGTGTCGGGATCTTTCCACTTATCCCTAGATTCACCTGACTGGGTAGGGCGAGCCTCAATGGAGTCTGAAAATTGCGTGAGCATGCAACATATACAAAGAAAAAAGGGTACATACAAGGCCGGTGCCGTTGTTTGCCCTTTTGTTTAGGCGCCTTGCCAACAGCAGATAATTTGGGACCAGGGGCAGGACGACTCGAGCTGGACGACAGTTGAGAGGACTTGTCAGACTCGGGATCCTGGTGTGTCGTGCCTGCATACAGGCGGCGAATGTGCGTATGACGATTGCGACCACCTTGACCGCGGTATATGACTTCAAATGGGCGGATTTTTCTACCCTCTGCGTACATCGCAATAATGATGTGATCCGGGTGTGTGAGTAAGACAGGTTCAACGACCATCATTTGTGGGGGTATGTATGCGCTTGCACGGACATACCAAGCTGGGACGCCAGCGCAGAATAACTTCTCGCAAATGTCGCTGCTCTGCGCGAACCCCCCCATCCATCCTAAGTTGACCTCATGGCGAACACCGAAAGTGGTACGAGGTTGGGCGACAAGAACCCAGTCAATGTAGGAGTATATGTCGAGAAACAGGCGCTGAGCGTCGGTGACAAAAATCAGAAGATCTCGAAAAGTAAGAGGGTGGGACTTCAACCGTGCGATGGCATGACAGAGGTACAAGAGGCGACTGTATATAATTTGCCCTCTGTCCGGCTGATCCTTTCTGTAATCGCGGACTCGTTGCTCAGCCAGTTTGAGAAGGGATTGCAAGCCATCAACCTTATCAGGAGCCAGCGTGCCTACAGGAAATGAATTCCCTGGAATAGACTTAAGGTCATCCTGGCTAGGGGTGAACCAGGCCCAGTGTAGCGGATGCGGGAATGGAAATGCCTCCTTTCGAGGAATGCAAACAGCGTGACAAAAAGCATCATCATAGGACTGAGGCCACTGGAAGCAATCGATAACCCCGAAGCGACCATCTGCCCGGGCTTGTAGGTCTTCTTCGTCAAAGTGGTGAAACTCTGGCACGAAGTGCATGTTGGGCGTGGTGATGACCAGATTTCCCTGCACAGCGACAGCGCGGGCATCGAAAGCTTGCAACCAACCTGTTGTAAACATCAGTATCAGTGCATGACAGAGATAGATTGAGAAATATGTACTGTCTGAGAGCGTGCAATTCGACTTAAACAATGTCAGAGCATTGGGCATGATGAATGCTACAAATCGTAAGTGGATGTCCGTAACGAAAGCGAAAGTCAACGTACCTTGTGTTGCGTTGCGGAATATGATCGTGAGAGTTTATGTCGCTGCTCAACACGACAGCAATGATACCACGCAAAGGACATGTGAAGGCAGATCAGCAGAAGTAGTTAAGATAAGAGAAAATATGTACGCTCACTGGCGAAAGACTGAAAGTCAAGATGAAACAAGAAGAGAAGCACGACACACCGGGCAGAAAACGGATGTGAGGCACTCCCACGGAAGGTCTTCAACCCTATTGGTGCAGCAACGAATGAGCAACCAGGGCGACCCTCCAGACACGAAGTCTAAGAGTGATAGATCAGCGACACGAAGTCAACTAATCAGGGTTTGAACGGCACGAAGCCAGTTCAGATCGCAAGAGAGGGCCGGGAAGTCGGGAGTTGAGGCTGGAAGTTGAGGGCGACAATGATCTAGTGGGGCGGGACGAAAAAGAGAGAGGAAGGACAATGAGAGAAGATGGAAGGGGAACGATGATGGCGGTAGTAGATAGAAATGTAAGGAATTGAATAGAAATGCAGTGGGAAAATCCCAAATGAAATTCCCACTGAATCTGGGTAACGAGTTCAATTGTGGGAAAGTCCCAACTTTGTTCAACTCTTCACCACTGCCTCTATCGTCCTGCGTCTTAGATCGTCGTTGCCCTCAACTTCAAACTTCCAGCCCACCACTGCCTCCTCATTAGGTCGTCGTCGCCCTCAACTTCCAGCCTGAACTCCGACTCCCGGCCCTCTCTTGCCATTCTGAACTGGCTTCGTGCCATTCAAACCCTGATTAGTTGACTTCGTGTCGCTGATCTATCACTCTTAGACTTCGTGTCTGGAGGGTCGCCCTGGTTGCTCATTCGTTGCTGCACCAATAGGGTTGAAGACCTTCAGCGGGAGTGCCTCGCATCCGTTTTCTGCCCGGTGTGTTGTGCTTCTCTTCTTTCAATTTTTCACTAGTGAGTACATGTCTTATCTACTTCTACTGATCTGCCCTCACATCCTTTTCACCGAGGATCGGAAAGAACTTAACTCTTGATTGAGTGACTATCATCTTGCGGGTAAGTGCCATATCCTCAGAATGCGCCAAATTCTTAATCATTTGTTTAAACAGGTACTTTAACCTCATCATTGATTTCTTGCATATGCGGTGCGTTCAATCTGGTGCGTCATACTTCACTTTCAGTCTTTAATCGGTGAGTGTACACATTTGTCTCATGTCTACTTCTAGTGATATACCCTCGCACCAAATTCTCAGAGACCCCGTCTTTTCGTTTTTATAGGTGAGGACACACATATGTCCCTTATCTACTTCTGCTGAGCTGATCTACCCTCACATGTTCCTTTCATATGCCGTCCCTTACCATTGGAAATAGCAGTCACCCCCCACAAATGGAGGTTCTACTGGCGTCTCTACTGCGCATCGAAGGGAGGTTCTACTGGCATCTCTACTGTGCATCAAAGTCTGGATTCAGTTTCTTCACCACCTTCGTATTATACCGTACATTCACACTATTTTATCTATCTTCTGTTCCCGACACTATTCCAATTACTTTCCGTGCATTCGCTCTATTTTATTTTCCTTCTGTTCCCGACACTATTCCAATTACCTTCTGTCCCCGGCCTTTATAATGCCGTAACTTATGATTCGACGTCCTGTACACCGCACACCGTGTCTCAACTCTATTCCAACCGTTGTTTTGGCTCCGTCATATCGCCATGACACATCCCTGAGTAAGGGCCCACATTCACTAACTTTATGTGGGTGACACCCTGATATGCGAGTAAGTTCCATTTCAGATAATTATTTAATCAACGCAAATAACTATTTTCATAGAGTCTGGTCGCTGTATATAATATGATGCGATATTCAGACACCCTCAAAATTTCCAGCCCTCCTATATTCACTCTAACATTCTCAACTTATTCACGCTTTTCGTATCTTTACCTGACTTCGTGTCGGTGAAATAAAACTGTTGAGGCAACTTCGTGTTCTTCAACTCATCTTCCTCGTATCTTCGTGATCGTCGGAAGCAGTCTCAAATGCCTCTTGTTACCCGTTCGGGGCGTCAGACTAAAGCCCCACCACCGCCTGACTATGTTCGCTCCTACGCGTCCAAGGACCAAATGGCTGCCGAATCTGATGTCGATGACAACCAGGTAATGTGTTACTTATTGTTCGCACTGCAACCACTGCTGATTGCTAAAGCCCTCTACACGTACTACGCGAAAGAAAACTCGCTCTCGTGCTGGCCCGAAGCCTGGCCCAAAGTCTGTCATGAATACCAAAACCCAAGACCATGTAAGCTTATAATTGTCATTTTATTATCTACTAAATCGACATCAGCCGCATCCTCGACCCAAGGCTCGCCCTCTTCCAAGGTCCGAACGTTCTGGTTCCATGACATCATCTGCTGAAGAAGATATTTTCTTCTCTAACTTCAGCAGACGCTCGTCACTTGGCAGGAAGAAGCGCAGTGACGTGAATGAAGGTCCCGAGGTCGAGTTGTCTGATACCGCCGACAGGTCCACAAATGGCGCAGATGGCGATGTGACATCAGGTAAGTTTTCTCTCGGTCTTTTACTCGCTATCAACTCTCATTAAATTTTGTTGTCAGCTGGTCTCGAGGAAGATGGTACTAGTAATGATGCCAATGAGGATCCAGGTATGTGTGTTGCTCACATGCAGGATGTATTAAAATATTGACCTGCTGCAGCGACAAACGACAGAGAGCAGACTCCAGGTAAGTACTACTAAAATATTTGTAGTAAATAACTAAAATGTTGTGTGACAGTTCTATCCGACGGTGAATGCGGTGGTGCTGCAGCGACAGACGAAGGGGAGAGAACCGATGGTGAATGTGGTGTTGCTGCAGCAACAAACGAAGGGGAGAGAGATGCAGGTAAGTTTTGCTACACATGTCGTAGTATATAACGAACATATTTTATTGCAGGTCTATCTGAAGGTGAATGTGGTGTCACTACTGTGACGAACGAAAGGGAGGGAGATGCAGGTGAGTTTTGTTGCATGTCTCGTGGTATACCACCAACATGCTTTATTATAGTTCCGTCTGACGGTGAATGTGATGGTACTGCAGCGACGAATAAACAGGAGAAGACTACAGGTAAATTTAAATTTTGCTATATATATATTAATACACAACTAATGTGTCTGGCCGCAGTTGCACCCACGACCGTTCGCCCGCGTAGATCTGGTGCCCACAAATCATATGCTCCTGGTCATGAGAGCGAACCCGCAGAGAGCTCTGGCTCTGACAGCGACTGGGCAGAACTCGAAGAGAAGCGGAAGAACGCAGAACGCGCTAATGACCCTGCGAGGCCATTCAGACTGTCTGCGAATGACAAGCAGAAGGGACCAGCGGTGGCAGACGACCACGGTGACGATGCCGATGCCGATGCCGAGGGCGGCGATGAAGATCAGACGTCTGAAGATGGGGATAGGGCCACACATAAAGCAGGAAGACTGTCCAAAGAAGGTGTTTTGAAAACGGAAGAATTTGGCAAGAGGGTTATGGCTGAAGCAACTGCAATTGGAAAAGAGTTCGGGAAACACCGGAGGGTGATTCTTATCGAGGCAGGACTAGCGACGAAGGCAACTCGAAAAGAGTCTGCCTGGAACCAGCATCAAGCCTGGTTCCCGACTGTACTACCTCCATCCAAAGAACGTAAGTTATTGCATTCATGACTGTTTCGGTGTTTATTAATGACCTTCCAGCAAACTTGGCATCATGGAAAGTCAAGCAAAATGTGCACTATCATGCCCACCCGTACAAAGACCCTAACCACGCATCCCTATGGAAGAAAATCCAACACCATTGGGATAGCGTGGTCGCCAGCCCTGAGGATCTTTCATCACGGGAGTCATCCAGTCTCATGACAGCAGTTCGTGAAGCGTTTGCGAAATCGGTAAGTGTCCTTCGGTGACTTGATCAATGACTAAATATTTGGAAGGCTTCATATTGGTACCACACCCATGGAATCCATATCGCTGGTATCACCATTTATCCAGGAGATGAGGAATCTGGTCGGCAGGCCTCTGGGTTTTTTGCGGGGTCTAATATGGTGAAGGCTCTCATTGACGCTCAACAAGTAGATGTAAAGCGCTTGATAGATGAACTTACTACAATCCTAAAGTGTGTTTCTTGTCTTTTTCTTTGAGGGGATGTGATACTAATATACACGGGATGCGTTACAGATACAAGGACTTGGAGGCTGCTCAAGCAGAAGGCAAGAGTCTCAGTTTTCTCCCACCGCCTGTCGCAGTCCCCAATGCTCCCCTCTTGCGCAACGGCAAATCCGCCAGGGATAGAAATCGCATGGTGGCGCCTATAATCATCAGTGAAGCATTTGGTTCGTGTATTATTAGATTCCGCTGTCGGTGTACTCACATGCTTTCGGTAGCTGATGCTGGTCATCCCTCTAAAACGTCGAACAGCAGGTGGATGAAGATGCTTGACATCCTTTACTCTATGCAACTTTGCATTCATGACTGGCCAGCAGGAGTTCCACCCCCTGGCCCTGATTTTGATCTGAAATCGCTGTCTGCGAGTCAGTTACGCGCCTTAGTGGGTCCATATCTCAGGATGCATCTCGGCGACATGTATGAGGCTGAGTAGGGCCGAGACGAGGACGAGGACGATGCAGAGAAAGCCACAACGACAAAGCGGAAAGGTAAATCGAAGAAGTCCAACGAGAATCGCAGAACTCGCGGCGCGGTTGTGCAGGAGCCTGATGTCATCTTATCTATTAAGGGGTGGACTCCTCGTGCGTATTCAGGTAGTCTGTACCCTACATAAACTAATATTTTGTTGCATTACAGGTCAGCTATCAGACTTCGCTGGATACTCTCGCGAGGTGTACTCAATCCCTCTTGTCATCGACACAGATGGCGTCGTTCTACGTCGTCTGGAGGAGTCGGATAAATTTATCAAGGACCTCCCTCCCCATGTTACTGAGCGTTTAAACACAGGGACTTCACGCTCTATTGGAGCTTCGCGCTCTCACCAGGAAGCTTCGCGCTTGTACCCCGCAGCTCCGCGCTCCGACTATCGGGCTCCGCGCTCCAACTCTGGGGCTTCGCGCTCACAACATGGGGCTTCGCGCTCACAACACAGGGCTTCGCGCTCACAACACGGGGCTTCGCGCTCACAACATAGGGCTTCGCGCTCGATTCCACCTGTCCCTATTCAAACTGACCATGATGAACTCCTGGATCACAGCATTCACTCAGATGAGTCCGACGACGATCTCCCACCGTCATCTCCACCACTGTCAACTCCTCATGCGACCCCTCAAGGTTCGAATGTAGCAGCAGGACGATACCAGTACAACCGCGTACGTGAAGATATCCGACGCTCGATGGCCTCTGAGACTAGGAAACGGACTTGTGATGATTATGAAACTGCGAGGGAGGCCGACGACATTGAGACGGGAATGGTGGCTGCGAGATATCGGAGCAGGTCCCATGTACGTTTTTTTGCATTGTATCTTTGTCTTTATTTCTCACATACTTTCACGTTGCAGGACAGGGCAAGCATGGGTATGAGGTCCACCAAGGGTCACAAGTATGTCGTTGCCGTGTTGCCAATCTTACTGTGTTAATTGGTGTCTATTCCTCAGTCATCCTAAGCCATATGTTCATACCTCATCAAAGGCACGCATGGGACCTGCGCCGAACCAAAACACTACGCACTTGCCATCTCGTTCGGCAGTCGAGCCATACTCTGAGGGCTCTCCATCTTCGCGCCAATATGACTCACGTATTCAGCCTGCTCATGTCCTGGATCACCGTTTACTTGCTCCTGTACATGAGGATGAATTTGAGTATAACTGATGTTTACAGCTTTTATAACCGCCGGTCATGTTGTCTGATCTCGACTATGATACTTGTCGTGACTTATGCTACTACTTGCCTATGACTTACTTCGCTCATTGCATGCCGAACACTCATGTTAAAATTCTTATGCGTATGCAAGCATGCTTTTTTATGTCTTGTCCTCTATCTTACATGCTGATCACAATTGTGGAGACTTACCTGATATCGAAGAATATTACTGTGTGGTTTTTCCTCATGTGCACGGTGTTCTGCACTCATGCAAGATTATAAAGATTAATATCAATGGTGTCTTTGTCTTGTGACTCCGCTCTCTCATGCTTCTCTACTTTCAGCTTCATACTCTTGACTTCACCAATGGAGTACATTCGAGCTACATGTAGCTACACACGACATATGTATTCATTAACCGAGTGAAAATGAAGTGAGGTAGACCTCATGCGAAAGCATTGAATGTCACATGAGAGTGACTGACTGTTATCCACACAAGTTGCCAAATGAGTGTGCGTGTAATATGACTCGACTTTATATGGGTCCGTATCTCCCTAGCTGCTTCTCTTGCAAGAAGGCAAGAATGTTCGACCCTAACATAAAGGGATACACAAATAGGAAAGTGTTAGGAGTTATGACCAGGATAAATATGTAGTGATGCAAAGGTAATCTGAGTGAGTGACTAGTGGGAGGGTGATAAAACTAGGGGAGACAAAGCCTCCGAAATCTGGGTCCGCGAAATTTCCAATGTACACCCCGCATGGTATATATATATCTATGTGGAAATCCGGAGTGCTAGTTGTAATTTCCGGGTCTAAATTTCTGGGTCCAGAGATATGTATGTAAAATACCTGCAGGTGCTGCGGGACATGGGAATAAATGTAATAATGATTGCAGTGCGTGTAGTTAATGGGAAACACAAGGCAACTATGCACCAGTGGGCTTAACAGGACTTAACGGACATAGAATCGGACATGGTGTCTTCCTAGTAGAAATGGAATAATTCTAGTCAGATTTGTCTGTTGAAGGGGGGGCGGGCGGGAGAGGGGCGGGTAGCTACATCTACATATGTATTCATTAATAGAGGGAAAATGAAGGTAGTGACATACTTGTTCTTTGGGAAGAATTGGACATGGTGTCTTCCTCATAGAAATGGAGTAATTTTAGTCGGATTAGTCTGTTGAAGGGGGGGAGCGTGTAGTAGCTGAGCGACATACTTGTTCTTCGGGAAGAATTGGACATGGTGTCTTCCTCGTAGAAATGGAGTAATTTTAGTCGGATTAGTCTGTTGAAGGGGGTAGTGTGTAGTAGCTGAGCGACATACTTGTTCTTCGGGAAGAATTGGACATGGTGTCTTCCTCGTAGAAATGGAGTAATTTTAGTCGGATTAGTCTGTTGAAGGGGGGGAGCGTGTAGTAGCTGAGCGACATACTTGTTCTTCAGGAAGAATTGGACATGGTGTCTTCCTCGTAGAAATGGAGTAATTTTAGTCGGATTAGTCTGTTGAAGGGGGGTAGTGTGTAGTAGCTGAGCGACATACTTGTTCTTCGGGAAGAATTGGACATGGTGTCTTCCTCGTAGAAATGGAGTAATTCTAGTCAGATTAGTCTGTTGAAGGGGGGGAGCGTGTAGTAGCTGAGCGACATACTTGTTCTTCAGGAAGAATTGGACATGGTGTCTTCCTCGTAGAAATGGAGTAATTCTAGTCAGATTAGTCTGTTGAAGGGGGGGGGTGATGGTGGTGGTGTGCGGTCTTCCCTATTGCATGAATAGTACACCTATGGTCCATCCCAATAAGCCTGTGGTCTTCCCTATAGCATGTATAGTATACCTATGGTCCGTCCCAATAAGCCTGTGGTCTTCCCTATAGAATGTATATTGCACCTATGGTCCGTCCCAATGAGCTTGCGGTCCTCCCTATAGCATGTATATTGCACCTATGGTCTGTCCCAATCAGCCCGTGGTCTTCCCTATAGCATGTATAGTACACCTATGGTTCGTCCTAATGAGCTTGTGGTCTTCCCTATAGCATGTATATTGCACCTATGGTCCGTCCCAATCAGCCCGTGGTCTTCCCTATAGCATGTATAGTGCACCTATGGTCCGTCCCAATCAGCCCGTGGTCTTCCCTATAGCATGTATATTGCACCTATGGTCCGTCCCAATGAGCCTGTGGTCTTCCCTATAGCATGTATATTGCACCTATGGTCCGTCCCAATGAGCCTGCGGTCTTCCCTATAGCATGTATATTGCACCTATGGTCCGTCCCAATCAGCCCGTGGTCTTCCCTATAGCATGTATATTGCACCTATGGTCCGTCCCAATGAGCCTGTGGTCTTCCCTATAGCATGTATATTGCACCTATGGTCCGTCCCAATGAGCCTGTGGTCTTCCCTATAGCATGTATATTGCACCTATGGTCCGTCCCAATGAGCCTGCGGTCTTCCCTATAGCATGTATATTGCACCTATGGTCCATCCCAATCAGCCCGTGGTCTTCCCTATAGCATGTATATTGCACCTATGGTCCGTCCCAATGAGCCTGCGGTCTTCCCTATAGCATGTATATTGCACCTATGGTCCGTCCCAATCAGCCCGTGGTCTTCCCTATAGCATGCATATTGCACCTATGGTCCGTCCCAATGAGCCTGTGGTCCTCCCTATAGCATGCATATTATGCCTATGGTCCGTCTCATTAAGTGTACGGTCTTCCCTATTGCAGGCACATCACACCTACAGTCCTTCCTGTTTATCATTTTTGCAATGCTGTGGTATGCCGTCCCTATTCATCTATCTATGTGAAAGTCTGCAGTACTATAGATAAAGGTTGTAGTAAAACTATTGGATCCAATAGTATGTAAACGGCCATAGGTACTGCAGCTAATGTGGTTAGACGGGGAGGAGCCCCCCTTGCACTCACACTCGTATACACACTCCCCCTCGCATTCTCACTCCTCTCACACCCATAGCCAAGGCTATGCCCACATCCACCACCCACACACCGCATTCTCACTCCTCTCACACACATAGCCAAGGCCCGCCCAAATCCATCACCCACACAGTCACCACCCCTCAGTCCCCATGCTCAACATCCCCACCAAGATGCAAGCAGAGTGAGCATTGAGGAGTGGGCGTGATGAACCAACAATCTGTGTGGTTTGAAGTGTAAGTACCAGTAGTGTTACATGGAACCGGACTGGGCATAGGACAGTTTTCCAGAGGATGTGAGCGGGTCCAGTGCGTATATAATGAAATCTGTTGTGGGTTATGCGCCTGGCGTGTTGGAGATGATTGTAGGCCGTCTGGACAAAGTATACAATTTTGATATATTGTTCGATTATATACGAAAAGACTCATTCAGTCTAAGGGGGTCTAGGAGGTAGGGCACAGTGCATAGATGCAATCCACAAAGGTAGGAAAATTTGCCAAAAAATCGTCATTTGAAGACCCCAGACACCCCTACATTAGAGGGAATTCAAGTGGTCCAAATCGTTGTATGGTACTCCCACAACATATTCCCAATGGTCTTTAGTTCATATATGGTACATGGTCTTTGGTCCCTAATGACTACAGGGAAAGACCACAGAACATTGGGTAGACCACCATAAAAGTACCTCTTAGGTGAAAACCTCTATAGGTCACAATCAACCTAAGAGGTGTCTAAAATGGGGTGACCAAAGTGAAACCCGAGACCCGGCAGTCTCAGGTTTCGGGGTTCGGGGGTTGGTACATCTCAGTTTGGGGTTTGGCACTGAAAATTTGACATATATATTTTTGTGAGTGTTGTGCTTCTGGTGTCCATGCTTAGAAATAGGATATGTTGCACACCAGGGTTCAGGTGTGGGGTTTTTCCACTTCAGTCCTTGATTATTGGTCAATGCCACACATGGTCGATTCATGTTTTTGTGCTTAGGGGTTTAGATTTGGTGGTCGATGGTAGGTATATGCACTCATAGTGTACATGTATCCTATGTATTTGATTCGCTGGTGGCTACATCAGCTGTATGTCTTGATGGAACATATCTAGGCTCACCCATATATGTACCCATCTATGTACAATTCCCCTACATCAGCCCACCCATCTATGTATTATCCCCCATGTCGGCCCACCCGTCTATGTAATACATCCTATGTTGGCCCACCCATCTATATAATACATCCTACGTCGGCCCACCCATCTATATAATTATACCCCACCTCGGCCCACCTGTCTATGTAATAAATATTTTATCGCACCTTCAGCCCACCCGTCTATTTGATATCCCTTTCGTCAGCCCACCCGTATATGTAATACTTTTCACGTCGGCCCACTTGTATATGTAATACACCCCACGTCAGCCCACCCATCTATGTAATATTCCCCTTGTCGGCCCGCCCGTCTATATAACAATATTTGCCTTACATCTCTCTTCAGCCCAGCTGTCTATAATATCCTACTCTACATATTACCCAGATGGGCCCATCCATCTCCATGAATGATCATATTCCCCTGGCCCATCCGTCAACATCAAGGATATATATATCATTGGCATACATGGGCACACCCATCTCCATCAGAAATAATATGTGTCCCGGCCCATCCGTCATCATCAAGAATATACACAACATGGGTCCATGATCCGCTGGCCCGTCTCATATGGGATATTATGGAGGTTGGGTGGCCCATATAATACGGAATTTGTCACTCTCTGGTTACATCCAAGTTGATAGTGACTAATATTGATGGGATTAAAGATCACATAAGGCGCTGCTGAAAGAGTCATACCAGGGTTCTGATAGGCATCGGCTAGGGTACTAGCCAGTTTTGAGCATGCCATGAGCATGACAAAATCTAGTTCGAGCAGAGGAATAGCATTGGGCCATCCGCTGATCAGTGCAAGGAACTGGCAAGAGACATATTCACTAGCAATATGGGTTGTGGCCAAGGCCCAGTCAGGAGGAATATGAATCATGGCTTCTATATAATGTACTAGGCATTGTGATTATATATGTCTGGCAGCAAACTGGTTACATAAATCTGGCGGCACATCGGTTACATAAAATACACAAAGAGTGACTGCCATATCAACTAACAAAATTGATAACATGAGGACCAACATAAGGAGGCATGCATACTGCGCATTGTCTTGACCTAATTCCCCATATGTAATGAAATCAGTGAAATGTGAAGGGGACCAGTGGTCATCCTGTAGATGCATGCGCCACATGCTTGCCGAGCCGGTGTTTGACAAGGTCACAGCGCAAGCACCGCCGCAATTAGTGCCTGGTGTCGCCAGCAACTTTATATTTGTAAATTTGCAGAGCTGGTATTCAACAATAAAACAGTGCCTGTGGCCAAAGCAGAGTAGCAGCTGTTTAACACCATTTCCTCAACATACCTCACCAGGTGATCCCTCGCCACATATTCATGCATGGGTCAGCTGCCGCCGGTGACAATCCTTACCCTGCAGTATTATGTTTGGCAGTGCCACAGGCCTTGTACTATGTCACCAGCATGCATGCATAGTGAGGTATTCTATGGAAGCATAGGGCAATCACCCTGCAACATTAGTTTCGGCAGTGCCACAGCTGCCCCCCTGTGGTGATTCCGAAATATGCAAAACTGTCAGTGAGTGTATATGGGCCCACCCCTCACCATCGAGTAGAACCTACCAGACATAGCCTATGCATCATAATACCACTATCCTATATATTTTTGTATTCCATAATATATATACAGTAGGCCCACCCTTGAGCCTCAGTTATTTTTAGCCTCTGGCCCACCCACTATACTGGGGTACAATTCCATATGTGCGCCCATGGTGGGTTGGCCCGAGTTTTAGGGAGCATTGTTAACATGGGCTGTCCTATAGGTAGGGAGATATGTCACTGCATTATGTGGTTGATTGAGCTTGCTATCGAGTTTGTCCATCGCTGGTATCACAGCTGCAATGCTCGCTGAGTCCTAAGAGAAGAACAAGGTAGCCTTCTTGTTTTAGTAGTGGATCGAAAAGGATCGAAATAAGTGAGACAAGGAAATATGAATGACGAGCAAGACCTACAGAGAGAACTGTGATGAGGTCAGCAACAATTTTCCACTCATTGTCATCCAATTCATATTTTTTAGCTCGCTTGAGGTTTTTATCACTTGTTATGCGATCAATGGGTTATCAAGACTTGCGAGCTTCGTTGTTTGAGTATCATTTGCAGTCACATTATCAGCATTAACTGCAAGAATCTGTAATCTTCAAGTTAGCATGATTTCTGCAATATTTAGAATCAGCTTACTCTCTTTGTTAGCCCGAAGTGTTCAAGCATTGCTTGAAAGGCTTTTGCCATCGCAGCACCGGTATGTGACTAAGATATATCATGTGAAGATTGGTGGAGCATTTGATATGGATGGCCTGCAACGTACCTCGGCAACTTCAATGATGTCGAGTAGAAATGAAAACATTTTACCCTCATACTCGAGGTGGACTGTCCACGCTACAAAGGCACAATGGTTGGATAAAGTCCAAGCATCTGTGGCAAAGTGTAAGCGTCCAGGGTGATCCTAACCATTGTGTTAGCCAAATATCTGATATCAGCAAAAGGCTTACACGGAGAAGCTGTCTGATGTGTTCACTGCACTTCTCAATTGCTACTTTAATATTGCAGGACAGTACATCAGGTGATAGAAGTTCAATATTTGAGCGACCTGCACAAAGAAGCTCGCGGAGTTCACAGTCATTGATTATATTGACTGGGCGATTACTTTCAGTGATCCATTTCACAAGACAAGCACTGAAATCAATGTTAGCATGTAAAAGTACACAGATTTAGATCATTTACCAAACTTCCGGATTTTTGTGTGTCCGATGGGAGTAATGGACTGGCTGTTGGCCTTGGCGTGCAAATGCTGCATAGACAGAGCCACTATTAACACCAGCATCTTTGCCCTTCATGGCATTGTTGACAGCATCCTCGCCAAAGCATCCGATGGCATGGTGCTTCAGATTAGTGGTCAAAGACTTATCCTTTGTATCCTGATAATGGCGCACACCACCTAAAGCTGTCTTACACTTCCATGCACCACATGGGAAAAATGATACAAGTGGCCATTGTGGTATTGGACTGTAACATCGGCTGAAAAGAAGCTATAGATAGGTGACCTCCAAGTCTTCTGGAGAGCGTCTGTATCATCGCCTAATCAGATATGCAAAAATTAATGAAAAGAAACACACCAAGATCTGCAGCAGGATCAGGATCAGGATCAGATGCACCTGTCATTGTTTTGTTGTCGTCACTGGCCAGTGAATCAGTACTTGATCGTGTGAGATCAACAGTTTCTGTGGGTTTCGATCGAGCAGACTGAGATGCAATTGACTGTTTGACCTTCTTCAAGGGGCGGACCAGGGCCTTAGGACCCTTTGCGATGGCCTTTTTGAGTGACTTGGCCTTATTGGAGATGGATGACAAGATAGACTTAGATGATGAGTGTGACTGCATAGACCAGACATCAGATGCCTTCTTTGTGAGCTTGGTTTTCATGGGGAGACAATTTGGTAGACTTACAGGTCTCAAGTTGTTGCCTTGACTTTATGGTAGCGACTCGAGCTTCTCTGTGGCAAAATGTCAGCTCAATAAATTGCTAGAATGATTCACAGGGGCACGAAAGACATGATAGAAATTAGTATAGCATTGGGTTGTGATCCTCAATCACTCAGAGTAAGCTGACACGGAGACTTATAGTATGGTGTTCAGTGGCTGTCAAGGTTCCCGATTTGGTAAGTCATACCTGCCGAACACCGTCAACCTGTGGTAAAGGGTCGCGGTATGGTCATGGGTATGAATATCCAACACCGTACCTGTACCCATGAAACCTGTCAGGAAAAACCGCGGTGTTACCCGTACCCATGCGTTTCCCTAATCACAAAACAGTATCTTCTTCATTAACTCATAACTCCTGCATGCTTCTTAGCAGACACACCTGTCAAATAAGCATTTACTACTCTGTATTCATCCTCCCCTTTGCTTCATAGAGAATTCCCACTCCATTTTATCTCATATAGTCCTATACCATCAGGTTTTCTTCTTGAAACTTAAGTGTTCATTCAACTTTTCTTTATCTTAATGGTTGTCCTATCTATTTTAATATAAATTCCTGGTCATATGATCTCATCCTATTGATTTTAACCTTATCTAACTAGATAAACCTTTTTCAGCTATTAGCAGTCCAGTATTTGTACTTCAAAGCAGCATCTTGTCTTTTTTTTTTATAGGTTGGAGACAGAAGAATCTGTTTTTCTTGATTATAGCTTTAAGATGGGCTGTCTTGAGAGTCTGTCTGACTATTCAAGTAGAGATAGTCATAGAGATGATGGAAATAATCAATTGAGTCACTTGAATAACATCAGCAGCCTTCCTAATTAGAATATAGTAATTAAGAGATCTTAAGTCTTATAGAGCAACCTTCTAGATTGGCTACCAAATAACTTAAAGACCATGATAATATTGTTCTATCATGTTCAGCATAGACCCAAGACATCAACCCTATTGAATACCCCTGAGAATCACTCAAGAAATTGCTTGTAGCATATCAAGATCCACCATAGGGGCTATTCCAACTATGAGACAGTGTTCCAGCAGAGTATAATGGAAATACCAAAGAGGAATACCCAAAATTGATAGAGAATATGTCTAGAAGAGTAACAGAAGTGATCAAGGCAAAAGGAGGTCACACAAAATACTAGAATTATAGAGATTACATTAGTTAAACCCAAAGTCAAAAAAGTGTCCCAATGAGTCATCAAATTAAAATAACCATATCTTCACACAATGTCATTATTTTCCCACAGTATAGGGAACTGAGATGAAGCTGAGAAGTAGACCTTTCCAAAACCTCCCTATGGCTTAGTCATATTCCCACATCTTGACACAAGATATAGCAATTACATGAAAAGCTATAAACATTAGGACACTTTTTTGAGCCACTGTAGTATAGGACAACATGAGGAAGGTGTTTGTGCTGAGCGGCTCCAGCTTGAAGACTTTGGTTGTATCTTGAACAAGCTTGTGCAAGCCAATGGCCTCATCCAACTTCTGCTTCCACTCTACTTGCACTTGCTGAGACTCTGTAAATAAGGTATGCAGACCACTAAGCCTGCCATTATAGTAAATGGTGCAAGGATATACAAGACATGAGTCATTAGTGGCAGGAACTATCTGCATGAGTAGACCAGTCAATATGTACCTGACTTTAATGAAGAGAGAGAGAGAACTATGTAAGACAAGTAGATTACCATGCACTCAGCCATGTCCTCCCATTTAATGGTGGCTGTGTTGTGACTAGGTGCACCATGCTTGTTGATGTAGATACTGAACTCTAGTGTCTTATTATCAGTGCAGGCTGAAGTTCAAATTAAACCGACTGACCATCATAGCACAAAAGGAATTCATTGTCCACATGAAACATTGCCAGTGGCCAGCAGGATTCCCTGCATTTTGCAAGTCTTTCATAGCCATCGTCACGCAGTGGAGTGGGTTCATGAGTGAAAACTGACAATGAAAGGATCACACAGTGTATTTTTGACACAGAGTTCAATATATCATCAAAGTCTTGATGCAAACTCGGAAGGATAGGTACAATAACAATATAATTCTTTCTAAAGGTCTTGACTTGGTTGAAGAAGAAAAAGAGCAGATTACACATCAAACTTTCAAGTTTGATCCTAATAACCTGGGGAATTAGGAAAAATACAAATCTATTAAAGCTGAGATTCTTTACTGTGCTCATTCAAGTGATGGCCAGAGTCAAAATATATTTCTCTTGAACTAAGCAGGTTTGTAATCTATATCATGATGTATCTTTTGCATTACCTCATGATTCATCACATTCCACCATTTTGTATTTCATAGAATAAAAATGTTGTTATTGGCAGGTTTTAAACCTGAGCAGTCCAAGAGAAACAGATTTTGACTCTAATGATAACTTGGCAAATTCATCTTTAGCAGGTTTTGAACCCACACAGACAGATTTAGATTCTGTTGTATCAGCTGCTTGGTTAATACCAGTTGAATGTGCTCCCAATGAACCCATTCAGAAGTGACTTACATACTTTTGCCTATTTGCTGTGCTCCTGACTTGCTTCTGCACACTGAGAACACACTTAGAATTACTTACATAGCACCATGTATCTTGTGACTCTGAACAACTTTCCACCACCATCTTGTATATTGTAGGACTCAAAGGCTAAAATATGCTATAACTGCTATTTGACACTGAGCGCTTGAAAGCATCTAAGCGCAGAATGTTGCACTATTGTCTAAATACTTCTGCTTTATCTCAGAACTTCCTCAGGTCATTAGAATCAAACTGGAAAGTTTGATGTCTAATCTACTCTTTTTCTTCAACCAAGTCGAGACCTTTAAAGAGAATTAAATTGTTCTTGTACTCATCATTCCAAGTTTGCATCAAGACTTTGGTCATACATTGAACTTTTGTGCCTTGCGGGTTCACTTCTGAATGAGTTCATTGGAAGTGCATCTCACTGGTCTTAGCCAAGCAGTTGATATGACAGAATCTAAATCTGTCTGTGTGAGTTCAAAACCTACCCAATGTTAAATAGCCAAGGGATCGCCAGAGTCAAAATCTGTTTCTCTGGGACTGTGCAGGTTTCAAACCTGCCAAGGATAATTCTCATTTTCTATAAAAATGCACCTTGATATATGCTCATGGTTGGTTTGCTTCAAAGCTCACCAAAGTTGTGTTTAACCAAGTGGTTGTCATCACAGAATCAAAATCTGTATCTGTGGGCATGCAACAGGTTTGAAACCTGTTGAATGTTGCATTTTTTTCTATTGGAACATGTCTTGAATATTTCCTGATAGACAGCATCTCAGATACTGATCTATATGTTTTTTTCCTGTTAAAACACACCTCAAAATGGACACATGTGTACTTTTCTGAGAGCACCATCTCACTGATTGTGTGATTTCATAAAATAAAAATGTTATCGTGGACAGATTTCAAACCTACTCAGTCCAAAAGAAATAGATTTTGACTCTGACAATCACTTGCAATTTCATCTTTAGCAGGTTTTGAATCCATGAAGACAGATTTGGATTCTGTCGCATCAACTGCTTGGCTAAGACCAGTTAGATGCACTACCAATGAGCCCATTCAGAAGTGAATGGAATATTGCGCGCGCGCAAGGCGCGAGAATGCGTGACTAGAAAATGGTTAGCTTTTGATATGCAAAGAGATTGACCTGTATGTGTTAATTGGCGCTAAGTGCGAAGATGCGCAGAACTAGATCTTGCTGACTGTTCCCCTCGCAGTGGGCTCCAGTTGTAGAAACAACAATACTGAGAGGAACAAATGATGCTCCTGACTGTATCTGTAAATAATTGTAAGGTCGCGCATTGCCTAGTCTGCGTTACTTGAGGAGACAAGTGCGTTCGACCCTAAAGGGGAAGCGAGTGGAGCGAAGATCTAGAGGTACGCGCTGAAGTGAAGCGCAAGAAAGCGCAGGTGCACGCAAGGCACAAACGCGTGCGCATATCGCGTGAAGCGCGGGAAAGTGCGCGCGTGTATGCGGAAATGAGAGACTAAGCTTAAGTGATGATATAAACCAAGATAAGAGATGTGAGATGCGATGTGCTAATGAATAGATTTCTACTGTGACTTTCTAGGTATTAAGTATGTAAGTAAAGTTGGGTGAAAAGGTAAGTAAAAAGGTAGGAAAAGTAAGTAAGTAATAGTATGTACTGCTGGCGCTTATATAACACGCCTAAGCGCGGTCATGCGGAGCCGAAGCACTACCGAGTAGGTATGTAAAGATATATATGAGTGAGAGTCCATGATAAAAATAAAGACAGAACAATATGCAAATGAGAGAAATAGAAATATACGCACTAGAGGGCTTGGTGGACAGTGGATGGATGCTTCTGGATGGCTGGCACTATAGGGCGCTCAAGCGTGGGAACGCGCGTGCGCGTATACATCGCAAAGTGTGGGAATGGTGCACGCATGGCGCACATTGCGCGAGAAAGCTGTGCCTCATATAGGAATAACTGCAGATAGCACACAGAG